CAGATGCTTATATATGCATCAGAATACAACATACTCATCTGTTGTATCCCACACTATATACACCAAGCATTCTCACCTGAAACTCTAAAACTCTTCGGAGAAAACATAGGGGAAAGGCTTCGGGACATTGCTCTGGGTAAAGATTTTGCGAATGAGACCCCAAAAGCACAGGCCACCAAAGCAAAAATAAACAAATGGGATTGCATCCGACTCAAAAGTTTCTGCACAGCAAAGGAAACAATCAACAGAATGAAGAGACAACCCGCAAAATGGGAGAAAATATTTGCAAACTATTCATCTGACAGGGGATTCATATCCAGAATATATGAAGAATGCAGATATTTCAGTAGCGAAAAACAACAACAACAACAAAACAATCTGATCTGAAAACGGGCGAATTATCTGAACAGACATTTCTCAAGAGAAGACACACAAATGGCCCACAAATAGATGAGAAAATGCCCAGTGTCACTAATCATCAGGGAAATGTGAACCAAAACCACACGCTGATATCTCATCCCAGCTAAAATGGCTTGCGTCCAAAAGACAGGCAATAAGAGAAGCTGGGGAGGATGCTGAGAAAGGGTAACCTTGGCACACTGCTGGTGGGAATGTAAATTAGTATGGATGCTATGGAGGACAGCGCAGAGGTTCCTCGAAAGACTGAAAATAGAAAGACCAGCAATCCCACCACTGGGTATGTATCTGCAGGAAAGGAAATCAATGTATCTAGGAGATATCTGCACTCCCATGTTGGTGGCAGCACTGTTCACAATAGCCAGGATCAGACGAAGGGCTAAAGAGAATGAGGTTCTTAGACCCGAGGGAATACTATTCAGCCTTTAAAAGAAGGAGAGCCTATCGTTCGCGGCAACATGAATAGGACACTGTGTTATGTGAAATAAGCCGGGAGCAGACAGCATAAACCCCACGTGTGCTCACTCATATGTAGAAGCCAAAAAAAATTGATGAAATAGAAGTAAAAAGTAGAACAGAGAGTACTGGAGGCTGGGAAGGGTAGGGGGAAGTGGGAGATAGGGAGAGATTTGTTAAAGGATACAAAATTACAGCTAGATAGGATGAAAAAGTCCTAGTGTTCTACAGGACTGTAGGATGACTGACTGCAGTCAACGGTGGCTAACGGAGAGCTTCCAATAGTTAGAAGGAGGACACTGAATGTCCCTAACACAAAGGAATGATACACGCTTGAGATGACGGTGTGCTGATGACCCTGATCTAATCACTACGGTAAGTTATATGTATCAAACATCACTATGTGCCCCAGAAAAATGTTCAAATATGATGCGTCAAGTAAAAGAAATGACAAAACCAGCCTTTCACGAACGTGATTACAGAGGAGAGTCTGAAAAAAACCAAAAATGGTGCATCTGCTCTTTCCCCGCCCCCTTTCATTGTACGGCTGCTGCAGTGTGTGGAGCCTGGCTGAGGTACAGATCCCCCCGCTCTAGGCTCCCTTCACCCGCTTGTGGCGCTCGGTTTTCCTTGATCCCGCGTGGAAACACAGATGTCATGCTCACCACCAGCCTTCACTGGTGCCCCTCCAGTCCTCTTGCTCTAGCAGACTCCTAAGAATGGAGTCATTGCAGTACATGCTCCAAGTTTTTGCACGTTGGTGAGAACTTGTTGCATTTACACTTTGAATGTGAGCTTGGTTGCGTACAATATCCTTTGCTCAGAGTTTTTTCTCATCATCTTACATTTTCTTCTAGCATAAGGCTTTCTGATGAACAGTTTGAGGATACTCTAATTTTCTTTCTATTATACCTGGATTCTTTCTGTCTCTCTGGCTGAATATCCAAAGACTTTTTTTTTTTTCTTTAAATTTCAATCATTGTGCTAGAACGTGTCTTGGCCTTGCTGGTTCTAGGCTGCTTTCCCCACGTACATGGTGTGCTCTTTCAAAGCTTTTGTGTTGTTTTGTTTTTACACATTTTATTCCCTGCTCTTTTCCTTTGCTTTGGTTTTTATCTTGGGGGACTCCTATTATATGCACACTAGATTTATTTTGCCTGCCTTCTATATTTGCCACTTTCTCTCAAATCTTCATCTCTTCGTTCTTCTTTTAATGTAAACACTGGCCCTGCTTTGCTTTTTCTATTTATCTTAAAGCATTATATGTCGCGTGTATTGATTCTTGGGGGCCTTTTAAGGAAAGGTCGTAATGACTGAACATTAAAAAAATCTTTTATTTATAATTCCTTCCCAGGCCTTTTCAAATTTGCCATGCTTTCCCGGGCCGATCGCCTCATCTCTGAGTTGCTTTAATAATTCTGATTTACGTTTTGTTTCATATGTTGAATCATTTTCTCAAGGTCCTTAGCTTGCTTTAAAATAAAGGATTTGCAGGCTGGGCGTGGTGGCTCACGCCTGTAATCCCAGAACTTTGGGAGGCTGAAGCAGGCAGATCATGAGGTCAAGAGATGAAGACCATCCTGGCCAACGTGGTGAAACCCTGTTTCGACTAAAAAATACAAAAATTAGCTGGGTGTGGTGGTGGGCGCCTGTAATCCCAGCTACTCAGGAGGCTGAGGCAGGAGAATTGCTTCGACCCAGGAGGCAGAGGTTGCAGTGAGCTGAGTCTGCGGCACCGCACCCCAGCCTGGGCGACAGAGTCTCGCTCTGTCTCAAAAAAAAATCCGAAAAACAAACAAACAAAACCCCACAAAACAAGAAAGAAGAAAGAAAGGAAGGAAGGAAGGAAGGAAGGAAGGAAGGAAGGAAGGAAGGAAGGAAGGAAGGAAGGAAAGAAGGAAAGAAAGAAAGAGAAAACCCAAAAGATTATAATTTCACCTGCACGTCCTTCTGGGATGTTTCTGTGGTCTGGAGGGATATTATACTGCTCCTTATTCTCTTCTCTGTTTTAGCAACTTTGTATGGGATTTGCCTTTGAGCCACTTGCTAACTAGTTTTCCCTTGAAATTCGTCCCTCTGCAGTTGTGGCAGGTGGGAGAGGCTAGGTTTTCTGATTTCACGTATGAAGAGCACTCTCTTCTGGTGAGTGTGGGAACTGAGACCGTCTGTCCGTTTAGTTTGTATCAGACGTTCTCCACTTGTTCTCCTCCGCCACTGTGATTTGGACTTTCTCTTTTTTTGCCCCTACCGTGCCTGTCTTGCTTTACTTGTCTTCTAGTCCCACCGGTTTCTGCTCAGTGGGGGCCTTTGTCCTGGAAAGAAGTTTTGGGAATTAATTGGGTCTAGTCTGTCTCAGCGCCTTTAGACCTTCGGGGTGACGGCAAGCCCTCCCTTGTTTCTCCTCTGGGAGACTGTGGGCTCCTGGATAGTGGGGGGATTGGCCCCTACCTCTCTGTGTGCCCAGTGGCTGGCACAGGGGCGGACCCTACCCCGAGATGTCTGTGAAGACACTGGCCCACCAGCTCCACTCACCACGTACCTGTCTCCTGGAGCAAGGGCTCGTTCAAGCCTGGGGCCCCTCGTTGGTAACAAATGAGAGAATCAGACCCCCACCTCCCCCAGGTCTCCTTGATCCCCCGCCCCCCCCACCCCTGAGCGGGTTGGTCCGACAGTCCTGGAAGGCCTTTTGTCACTAGGCCTGCTGGGGGGGCCCAGGTCACCAGGGGGCCCACCTGCAGGCAGGGGAGGGTGGCACTTGCCTCTCCCTGCCTCCCTGCCTCTCTCTCTCCCCTCTCTGCCCCCAGGCCCTTCTGACCTCTGCAGCTTCACAGCCTGGCCCCCACCGCCCTCCGGCATTCCCCTCCCCTTCAGAAGACACTTGGGCCACTCTAGCCATTAGTGGGTCCTCTGTGCTGCAGCTAGGCCAGGGGACTTGCCTGCCTGCCGGGATTGACAGATGGCTACTCTCCCCTCAGCCCGGTCAGGAGGCGGAGGGTGGAAGAGAGAAGCACTCATCCTTCTCACACGCACACAGGGCCACGTGGCCAGGGTGCTTCCACGTTCTTGTGCCCGAGGCCTTCCGTCCCGGCACTGTAGCTTATCCCTGGGGCCGCTGGGTGCTACCCTCTTATTGAGGCTGCCTCTGCCTTGTGCCTGAGAGTGACTGCGGGCAGTTACTCTCCTGACATACAGGGGCCACAGAATGGAGCTCAGCCCCTCCTGTCAGCCCTGGAAGACCCTGGCGACCTTGTCGCCTGAGCACGCCCCTCCTCCCACTGCCACCTCATGGGACTGGGGGTCAGAGACTTGGCTGGAGAGCAGCAGACACAATCGGCGGAGGATGGGGGTCCAGGCTCTGCCAGGCATCAAGGTCAGGACCCTGAGGGGTGACTGACGGTCCCCCAACCCCACCACGGCCACCACGACCTAAGCCTTGGGGTCACCGCTGACATCCCTCCCCCCCCACCCCGCAACCCCCAATCCCTTCCATATAAACGTCTTCACACCCACCCCTACCCCAATCCAGGCAGCACCCGGTTCCGCTCCTACTGTCAACCCAGGGAAGCCCTGGTGCCCGGATGTGACGCCACTGACTTGTGCGCATTGGGGGTTACAGAGGAGCCTGAAGGGCGGCCTGAGATCAGCAGAGGAAAGCGGGCCCAGGCTCTGCAAGGAGGCAAGGCGAGACGCTGAGGGAGGACTCAGGACACCGCCATCCCAGATAGAGGGCCCCAGATGATCCAGCGCCACCCCTTCTGGCAGCCCTGGACCACCTAGGGGCAGACTTCTCAGGCTGGGCCACCCCCAGCCCCCTGCTGCTGAAGCCGCTGGGGACTCTGGAGTCAGAGCTTGTGTGACCAGGGAAGGGCTGCTTGGGAGAGGACAGCGTCCAGGCTCTGCCAGGCCCCATGCTCAGGATTCTCAGGGAGGGCTGAGGGCCCCCCAAGACCCCACTCCAACGCCCATTCTCTCGGCGACCCAACCCCCGCTTAACTGCCATTCCCACCCCATCTCCCACCCCCCACCCCATCCCTCAACCCTCAACCCTGATCCCCATCCGCCCCGCCCTTCCACCCACACCATTCCCACCAGAACCCCCACCCCCAGCCCCACCCAGGCAGGATCCGGTTCCGCCCCTGCCATCCACCCAGGGAAGCCCCGGGTGCCCAGATGTGACGCCACTGACTTGCGCACTGGGGGACAGAGACATGTGAGGTTTCCATTCTTAGCGGCGGCCTGAGTTTGGAGGAGAGAGGCGGGCCCAGGCTCTGTGAGGAGGCAAGGTGAGAGGCTGAGGGAAGACTGAGGATCCCCCACCCCAGATAGACAGCCCGAAATATCCCAGCGCCGCCCTTGCTGCCAGCCCTGGAACACCTGTGGGAAGACGTCTCAGGCGGGCAGTGCCCAGCCCCCTGCTGCTTCAGCCTTGAGAAACACCAGGTTTTCCTCCCCAAGCTCTGGAGTCAGAGGTTGTTGTGACCAGGGCGGGACTGGTTAGGCGAGGGCAGGGCCCCAGCTCTGCCAGGCATCCAGGTCAGGACCCAGAGAGAGGGCTGTGGGCCCCCAGGGCTGCACTCCAATCCCACTCCCTCCATTCCCATTCCCATTCCCATTCCCCACCCAACCCCCATCTCCCCAACCACCCCTCCACCCCCGCCCCACCCCCACTCCGTCACCTGACCACCACTCTCCATCTCCAGCCCCATCCCCAACCCTTCTGCCACCCCACCGTCTTCCCCCCATCCCCACCCTCATCTCTCTCATCCACCCCACTCCCATCCCCACTCCCATTCTGGCAGAATACGGTTTACCCCTGCTCTCAACCCACGGAAGCCCTGGGTGGCTGGAGGCGACACCCCTGACTTGCACCTCAGAGATCTGAGAGAAGCCAGGTTCATCTAACGGTTCTGAGGGGCGGCTGGAGGTCTGCTGAGGGGAGTGGCCTGAGGCCCTGGGAGGAGGCAAGGCGAGAAGCTGAGGGAGGCCTGAGGAGGGCCCCCACCCCGGGTTGACGGTCCCCAAGTGATCCAGCACCACCCCTGCTGCCAGCCCTGGGCCACCCAGCCGGGGCACACGTCTCAGCTTAACCTGCAGGGCACTCTGGCCACCCCTGGCCCCACTACCACTTAACTGGCAGGGGACTCTGGAGTCAGAGCTTACGGGACCAGGTCAGGGCTGGTCAGGAGAGGGTAGGGCCCAGGCATCAAGCAAGGTCCAGGCATCTATCTGCCCAGCATCAAGGTCAGAACCTTGAGAGGGATCTGAGGGTCCCCCACCCTGACCTATATCCTCCTCTCCACCACTACCCCACTCACACTCCCATCTCCACCCCCACCCCCACCCCCACCCCCCACCCCAACCATATCTTGGCAGAATCCCTGCAGTCAACCCACGGAAGCCCCAGGAATGGCGGTCAGGCACTCGGATCTTGACGTCCACATCCGGGGCTGATGGAGGGAAGGGGCTTGGGGAAGGAAGGGGCTTGAACAGGGCCTCAGAGGAGCAGAGGGAGGGCCCTGCTGGGAGATGAGGGAGGCCTCAGGGGACCCAGCACCCCAGGACGGGAGACCCACCGCACCCCCGTCTGGGACGGAGGCTGCTTCTTTTGGCCTCAAGAATCACAGTGATGGGGACTCAGATCACCATAAGGGTGGGACCCAGCCCTGCCAGGATCACGAGGAGGAAGAGGAGGGAGGACTCAGGTGACCCTGGAATCCAGATCAGTGGGGACCTCCACCCTGGGAGACAAAGGTCTAATATCCAGAACAATAACCTCTGGATATTAGACCTTTCCACTGCAGCAGCTAACAGTCAGCCTTCTGCTTGCCAGCTCATTTTTGTCTTTTAATAAAAATCAAGCAATAGTCCAGTCAGCTGTCCCTAGATCCAGACCCTGGGATACTGCAATGTATAATATTGTCACAGGTCCCCGTTGGTCAAATGAGCCTGACCCCACCCATTGCCATCCTGATTGTGCTGCCCCGTACTGCAATGGCACCCACCTTAGCCTAGCCCTGATACTTTTGTGTCCCCGTCTGGAGCCTGCCATTTGAGAATCCTCTCACTGACTGACTGCCAGATACATGGTGGCATCGCTTGCGTCCAACCTCTGTTTTGAGAGGAGAGTCAAAGCAGAGCTTCTCCAAGATGCCGGGGCCACCCCACGAACAAATTCGTCATTTTAGTAGTGTCTTCTCAGCCCTCGAAGGGAACAACGTTCACAGGTGGGGCCTCCGGTGTCACATAATGAATCATAGCTAATACTGCTCTCCCCCCAGCCGCCTCACCAATTGGTCAATATTCTGCCAAGGCAGTTCCCGTAACTCCGTGTCATTTACTGTAGGCTGTTGTTCTCCAAACGTGAAGCTGCCAGCCCAACAGGATCTGAGGCCAGCCCCAGGACAGGGAACCCCACGTTATAGCTCTGTGCTCCCATGTAAATACACTCTCCCCTCTGCTGAACTGTGTTCTGTCTGCTGTCTTGCTGGATCCACATGCCCAAAATCCATTCCCACCTATGCCATCCCAGGTCATGCCAGGGCGCACTGGCCAGCTTCTGCAGGTTATCTGAATATGAGGTACTTCCCACCCAAACAGAAGCCGTATTTGTCTCCCGTGCTGCGATCTTTCCTATTCATGCTTTACGCTTGTCATAGCAGTGAAAGTTAGCGGGATGGATGTTAGGTAAGACAAGCCTATATATATAATTTTTTTCTTCTTCTTCCTTTTTTTTCCTTAGAGACTGGGTCTCCTCTGTGGCCCAGGCTGGAGTGCAAGGGTGTCGTCATAGTTCACTGCAGCCTCAACCTCCTGGGCTCAAGCAGTCCTCCCACCTCAGCCTCCCGAGTAGCTGGGACTATAGGCACGCACCACCAAGCCCAGGTAGGTTTTAAATGTTTATTATTGTAGAGACAGAGACTCGCTATGTTGCCCAGATTGGCCCCCACCTCCTGGGCTCAAGTGATGCTCCTGCTTCGGCCTCTCGGTGTGCTGGAATTACGGGCTTGAAGGCAACATCTTTTACGGTAGCTCGCCTAGACGAGGTCTTTGCGGAGTCTCCAGGAACAAGGGGATTGCTCCCCAGTTAGCGAGGGTTAGGCGGTTGCTAAAGCCAGGGCGGCTTTTTGTGTGAAAGAACATAGGACCTAAATGAAAGTAGCAAGTCCAGTCAAAGGAAATGTTATGAAAACCAATGGTCTTGTCCTTCAAACCTACTGGGACAACTACGCTTCCAAAGATGTTGAGGGAAATGCCAGCGTTTGCAATTGTTTCACAAAAGAGCTCTTCACGAGTTTGCGAGGAAGCCATGGTGATGAATGTGCCACCACCAAACGCTAGGGGTGGGCCCCAAATGAGTTCTGCATGTTCCCAAAGTCTCGAATATCCAGAACTTACTTAACGCTCGTCGGGGAAGGGATGGTTCATTTTACACACAGGGACTTTCTGATAGATTCTGGAAAGGAGGTGGCTCCCTGCTAAGGTCTGGGTGCAGGAGGGGAGCTAATTAGCTTCACGGGTTGTTGCTGGTTTCCTTCTCCTCTTCTTTAAGACATTTCTGTCAAACAGCTCTTTCTCACGGTAATGCACAGGTGGCCCTCGAAGGTACTTCTCCTCTGCTGCCTTGTAATCCAGCCCATCAGTTGCGGCGATGGCACAAATGATGGCCTCCGGCAGAAGAACTTCCAGAACAAAATTGACTTTGTCGTCCCTTATCCGAGTCAGCATGGTCTTGTCCATTTGCTTGTTGTAGATTTCTTGTAAATGCTTGGTCACGACTTCCAACTGGTCGTCATCTTCCAGGTATGTTTCAAAGCAGAGCAAGTCCCTGTGTGGGGTCAGAAACATGGTCAGCCACCTGGACTGCTTCCTGCCTTGCAAGATGTCCAGGAGGTGGGGGTCGGCCCCCTTTTCCCTCACGATGAAGTCCACCAGCTTCCGGTTGTCTCGGTCCCGAGCGGCCCTCATCCGGTCCGGGAGGATTTTCTTGCAAGGCCTCTTCCCGCCCAGGGAGGTCTCCTCCTCCCAGTCTTCCAGGTCGGCATAATTGACCTTTGGGAAGTCGATCTGCAGGTCTCCCTCTTGTACGGCTCTCCTGACGGGGTAGCTGACATCTGCAGCGTAATAGTCCAGGAAGGAGCCCCGGAAAGAACCCCGGACCAGCCCTTCTCTGTAGTGGGAAATCAGTGAGAAGCACCAGTCCACGCTTTGCTTGTATGCCTTCTGGGCCCTCTTCAGCAGTTTCTCTTGCTCCTTACAATCCAGGTGCTTCAGCCTTTGAAGAGGAACTTGAATGCCACGATTTCCATGGTGCAGGTTGTCGTCCAGCAAGAGCACCCTCGCGGTCTTGTCTGTGTTGCTGACACTCTTGACCACTGCTGGCCAAAATGGATGGTCTTGAAATTTGAACCAGACCAGTGTTCCCCTTTCAATGGGACGTGGCTCCCGTCGAAGAGCAAGGCCGGCGGGCCGCCCATCCTGTTTTCTGCCCGCCCTCTGAATGGCGGTCACGGGATTGGCAGCCTTAGCGTCACCAGGGGGCTGAGGTCTTCGAGGTCTCCTCTGAAAATCTGGACCCGGAAGCTTCCTTTTTCTCTCGGCAATCCGCGGTGAAGAAGGCAGCCTGTGCTGAGGGGACCCAGAGGATGGGGCCAGACCTGCCCAGCCTGGCTTCCAGGCACCCTCTCCAGGGTCCTGAATGTCCCCTGAGAAGGGAGAGCATTCAGGGGAAGCAGCCAGGGTCTTCTTCTTCGGGCGGCTGTCCAGTGTGTCTTCCTTCAGAGCGGGGGGCACAGGGCTGGTGAGGCCTGGGGGCCGAGATGCACCCTTCCCCTTTACTGTGGGAGGCAGCGACGTAAGAGTTGAGGCCTTGGCTCTTTTCTTGCCTTTTATCTCACAACCACGCCACGAATGTGTCAGGGAATCCTGGCCGGCACGGCAGCTTTGCAACGCCTGTGCTTGCATTCCACCTGGAGTAGGAGCAATGGCCATGCGTGTCTGTGACCTTTCACCACGCAGGGCGCCTGGAGTAGGAGCAATGTCCTTGTGTGCCTGAGAGCCCTCCCCGTGCAGGGTGCCTGCAGTGCACCGTGTAGGACCAATGGCCATGCCTTCTCCTGAGCTGTCACAGTGCAGGGCACCTGGAGTAGGAGCAAAGGCTCTGTGCGCTGGTGACCTGTCACTATGCTGGGTGCCTGCAGTAGGAGAAATGGCCATATGCATTTCTGACCTGTCACCCTGCGGGGTGCCTGGAGTAGGAGCAATGGCCTTTCGTTTCCGTGACCTGTCACCTCGCAGGGCCCCTGGAGTAGGGACAATGGCCGTGCGTGCTGTTGAGCTGTCACTGTCCATAGCACCTGGAGTAGGATCAATGGCCATGTGCGCTGGTGAGCTGTCACTGCACAGGACTCCTGGAATAGGAGCAATGGCCATATGTGTCTGTGGCCTGTCACTGTGCAGGGCACCTGGAGTAGGAGCAAAGGCCTTGCGTTTCTGTGACCTGTCACCGCGCAGGGTCCCTGATATAGGGCCTATGGCCATGCACGATGGTGAGCTGTGGCCACGCATATCGCCTGGAGTGGGAGCAATGGCCGTGTGCGCTGGTGAGCCATCACCGCCCAGGGTGCCCGGAGTAGGAGCAATGGCCCTGCCAGCTGGTGAGCTGTCACCACACAGGGTGCCAGGAGTAGGAGCAATGGCCTTGCGTTTCCGTGACCTGTCACCTCGCAGGGCATGTGGAGTAGGGGCCATGGCTGTGCGCGCTGGTGAGCCATCACCTCCCAGGGCACCTGGAATAGGAGCAATGGCCTTGCATGCTGTTGACCTGTCAACGCGCTGGGCGCCTGGAGTAGGAGCAATGGCCGTATGTATCTGTGACCTGTCAGTACGTGGGGCGCCTGGAGTGGGAGCAATGGCCTTGTGTTTCCGTGACCTGTCTCCGTGCAGGGCCCCCGGAGTAGGGGCAATGGCCATGCACATTGTTGAGCTGTCACTGCGAATAGCACCTGGAGTAGGAGCAATGGCCGTGTGCACCTGAGAGCCATCACCCTGCAGGGCTCCTGGAGTAGAAGCAATGGCCATGTGCGCTAGTGACCTGTCACCGCCCAGGGGGCCTGGAGTAGGAGTAGTGTTCGTGTGCGCTGGTGACCTGTCACTGCCCAGGGTGCCTGGAGTGGGAGCAATGTCCCTGCGTGCTGGAGACCTGTCAACGCGCAGGGTGCCCGGAGTAAGAGCAATGGACTTGCGTTTCCGCGACCTGTCAGTCCTGTCACCGCGTAAGGTGCCAGGAGTAGGAGCAACGGCCTTGGGTTTCTGTGACCTGTCAGACCTGTCACCTCGCAGGGTCCCTCGAGTTGGGTCAATGGCCATGCGCACCATTGCGCTGTCACTGCGCATAGTTCCTGGAGTAGGAGCAACGGCCGTGTGTGCCTGAGAGCCGTCACTGTGCGGGGCTCCTGGAGTAGAAGCAATGGCCGTGTGTGCTGGTGAGCTGTCACCATGCAGGGCGCCTGGAGCACGAGCAATGTTCATGTGCGCTGGTGAGCTGTCACTGCCCAGGGCGCCTGGGGTAGGAGCAATGGCCCTGCAGGCTGGAGACCCGTCAACGCGCAGGGTGCCAGGAGTAAGAGCAATGGCCTTGCGTTTCCGTGACCTGTCAGTGTTGTCACTGTGCAGGGCGCCTGGAGTAGAAGCAATGGCCTTGTGTGCTGGTGACCTGTCACCATGCAGGGTGCCTGGAGAAGGAGCAATGCCCGTGGGCACTGGTGAGCTGTCAGTGCGCAGGGGGCCTGGAGTAGGAGCAGTGGCCTTGCGTTTCCCTGACCTGTCGGACCTGTCACTGGGCAGGGCATCTGGAGTAGGGGCAGTGGCCGTGCACGCCGTTGAGCTGTCACCGTGCATAGCGCCTGGAGTAGGAGCAATGGTTGTGCACACCTGAAAGCCGTCGCTCTGCAGGGCTCCTGGAGTAGAAGCAATAGCCACGTGCCCTGGTGACCTGTCATCATGCAGGGCACCTGGAGAAGGAGCAATGCCCGTGGGCGCTGGTGAGCTGTCACTGCCCAGGGTGCCTGGAGTAAGAGCAATGGCCTTGTGTTTCCGTGACCTGTCAGTCCTGTCACCTCGCAGGGTACCTGGAGTAGAGGCAATGGCCATGCGCGCCGGTGAGCCGTCACTGCCCAGGGCCCCTAGAGTAGGAGCAATGGCCTTGCGTGCTGCTGAACTGTCAACGCGAGGGGTGCCTGGAGTAGGAGTGATGGCCTTGTGTTTTCGTGACCTGTCGCCACGCAGGGCCCCTGGAGAAGGGGCAACGGCCATGCGCGGTGTCGAGCTGTCACTGTGCCTAGCGCCTGGAGTAGGAGCAATGTTTGTGTGCGTCTGAGAGCTGCCACCCTGCAGGGCGCCTTGAGTAGAAGCAACGGCCATGTGCACTAGTGACCTGTCACCGCCCAGGGCGCCTGGAGTAGGAGCAATGCCCGTGGGCGCTGGTGAACTGTCACCGCCCAGGGCGCCTGGAGTAGGAGCAATGGCCCTGCGTGCTGGTGACTTGTCAACGCGCAGGGTGCCAGGAGGAGGAGCAACATCCTTGCGTTTCTCTGACCTGTCAGACATGCCGCCTCTCAAGGCCCCTGGAGGAGGGGAAATGGCCGTTCCTGCAGTTGAGCTGTCACTGCCCGGGGCGCCCAGAGTAGGCGCAATGGCCGTGCGCGCCTGAGAGCCATCACTGTGCAGGGCGCCTGGATTAGAAGCAATGGCCACGTGCGTTGGTGACCTGTCACCGTGCAGGGCACCTGGAGAAGGAGTAGTGGCCGTGCACGTCGTTGAGCTGTCACTGCACTTAGTGCCTGGAGTAGGAGCAATGGCCGTGTGGGCCTGAGAGCCGTCGCCATGCAGGGCGCCTGGAGTAGGAGCAGTCGCTGTGAGTTCTCCTGAGCTGTCACCGCACAGGGCGCCTGGAGTAGGAGCAGTCGCTGTGAGTTCTCCTGAGCTGTCACCGCACAGGGCGCCTGGAGTAGGAGCAGTCGCTGTGAGTTCTCCTGAGCTGTCACCGCACAGGGCGCCTGGAGTAGGAGCAGTCGCTGTGAGTTCTCCTGAGCTGTCACCGCACAGGGCGCCTGGAGTCAGAGCAGTGGGCGTGCGTGCTGGTGACCTGTCACCATGCAGGGTGCCTGGAGAAGGAGCAATGGCTGTGTGAGGTGGTGACCTGTCACCATGCAGGACGCCTGGAGAAGGAGTAATGGCCGTGCACCCTGGTGAGCTGTCACTGTGCAAGGCACCTGGAGTAGGAGCAATGGCCATATGAGTCTGTGACCTGTCACTGCACAGGGCCCCTGGATTGGGAGCAATGGCCCTGCGTTTCCATGACCTGCCACCGCACAGGGCCCCTGGAGTAACAGCAGTGGCAGCACGTGCCCACGACCTGTCACCGCGCAGGGCACCTGGAGTAGGGGCAATGCCGACACCCACCCGTGACCTGTCCCTGCACCGTGTGCATGGAGTAGGGGCAAGTCCCCTGCGTGCCCGTGACCTTCCGCTGCACAAGGCGCCTGGAGTAGGGGCAATGGCCCTGCTCGTCCCTGACCTGTCACTGGGCAGGGCGACTGGAGTAGGACCAACGGCCGTGCGTTTTCCTGATCTGGAACCGTGCAGGGCACTTGGGGTAGGAGCAATGGCCCTGTGCCGCAGTGACCTGTGCCCGCACAGGGCATCTGGAGTAGGGGCAATGCCCGTGCCCACCCGTGACTCGACGCCGCACAGCGTGCATGGAGTAGGGGCAATGGCCCTGCATGCTCCTGACCTGTTACTGAATAAGACACCTGGAGTAGGGGCAAGGCTGGTGCGCGCCCGTGACCTTTCACAGTGCAGGGTGCCAGGAGTAGGGGCGTGGCCGGTGCACGCCCGTGACCTGTAACCTCGCAGGGCGACTGGATAGGGGGCAACGTTCCTGCGCACCAGCGACCTGTAACCGTGCAGGGCGCCAGGAGTAGGGGCAATGCCCGTGCCCACCCGTGACTCGACCCCGCACAGCGTGCATGGAGTAGGGGCAATGGGCCTCCGTGCTCCTGACCTGTCACACAATAAGGCACCTGGAGCAGGGGCAAGGCTGGTGCGCGCCGGTGACCTTGCACCATGCGGGGTGCCTGGAGTAGGGGCAATGGCGGTGCACGCTGGGGACCTGTAACTTTGCAGGGTGCCTGGAGTAGGGGCGTGGCCGGTGCGCACCCGCGACCCGTAACCTCGAAGGGCGCCTGGAGTAGGGGCAATGTTGGTGAGCGCCCGTGACCTGTTACCTCGCAGGACACCTGGAGTAGGGGCAATGCCCGTGCCCACCCGTGACTCGACCCCGCACAGAGTGCATGGAGTAGGGGCAATGGCCCTCCGTGCTCCTGACCTGTCACCCAATAAAGCACCTGGAGTAGGGGCGTGGCTGGTCCGCGCCGGTGACCTGCAACCTCGAAGGGCGCCCGGAGTAGGGGCAATGTTGGTGCGCGCCCGTGACCTGTTACCTCGCAGGGCACCTGGAGTGGGGGCAACGTTCCTGCGCACCAGTGACCTGTAACCGCGCGGGGTGCCAGGAGTAGGGGCGTGGCTGGTGCGCCGCCCGTGACCTGGAACCTCGAAGGGCGCCTGGAGTAGGGGCGATGGCCCTGCGCGCCAGTGACCTGTAACGGCTCAGGGTGCCAGGGGTAGGGCCAATGGCGGTCCACGCCGGTGACCTGGCCCCGCGCAGGGCGTCTCCAGTAGCAAAGGCCCTGCTCCCCCATGACCTGTAACCTCGTGGGGTGCCTGGAGTAGGGGCAATGTCCTTCCGTGCCCGTGACCTGCCACTGTGCATGGTGCGTGGAGTAGGGGCAGGGGCCCTGCGTGCCCGTGACCTGTCCCTGCACAGGGTGCCTGGAGTGGGGGCAATGGCCCTGCGTACCCGGGACCTGCCACCGCGCATGGTGCCTGGAATAGGGGCAATGGCTGTGGGCTCCTGTGACCTGTCATCCCGCAGGGTGCGCTTACTCTCTGAAGGGACCGTCGGTGATCTTGGGTTTTCCCTCTTCTCAAGGCTCTTCCTGAAGTCGAGTGTGCGTCTCCAGTCGTCTTCACGAGGGAGGGAACTGGCGGGCTTTTCCGGCACCTTTTGAGAAGGCTGAGAGGGCGTGGTGCTCTCTTGTTCATGTGGTTTTCTTCCTCCACGCAGATTTGTTCTCTCGTTCAGCATCTCCAGGGCCACCTGAAGGGTTCCTCTGTACCCCAACTTCTCTCCGGGTGGGGCACCGACCATCCTCTGTGCCGCTGCAGAGGCGGCAATGTCTTCCATTTCAGACTTAGTTGGGGTCCTCACGTCTGTGCTGCTCACCTTGATCTTTTCATCTACTGCAAGGATTTGAACTTCTAGGGAAGGTGCCACTTGACGCATCGTTTTTGGTGAAGTCGCACGTGTACACAAAACCTTTGCTGGCCATAGGCGGCCTTTCCAAGAGCATAGGACGTACTCGGAGTCCATGATGAGCTGAGTCGTGTGTGCACAGGTAGCTAAGGGAGGCCGAGGGGTGTGCCCGCCACGCCCTCTTCTACCGCAGGTCTCTCCTAAACCAAGCTGCCCTGCAAAGCATCCTTTGCCTTCGGACTGCAAAGGGTGTGTAGGGTGGGTGGGCTGTGTTCCTCCTCCTGAATCTCCCTGAGTCACTCGAACTCGTGTTTCCAGTGGGCCATACTGGAGTAAACTGCAATGTGGAAAAGGGAGAGCAGAAAGGTATCAGAAAAACATCCTTTTGTGAAATGCGAAGCACCCGCTCAGTGAGGTCGATAAGACAAGGAAATGTGACAAGTGAGTCTCAGACAGAGGGATAGACAGATGGCAGGTACGTGGGGACATCCAGAAGGTGCACAGGAGCTTTCTGACACACCAATCCCAAGGCTTCGTCCTAATTTTAGCAATTCCATGTTGAGGAGCACCTGCATGGGGAGGTGGGTGTCCCGACAGGGGCCCCATGTTTCTTATTGAGTATTCTGTGCCTTTGGGCTCCTCGGGAGGGAACCTAAGGAGACGCTTCATGTTTTTATTTCCAGGGTGACCAGTATGGAGCTGTGCACCCCAGGAAGCCCGAGGAGCTCTCCCACATGCAGAGGCTGGGTGTCCGCACCGTGTCACGTGCAAGGGCACGAACTTAGAACCCAGAGCTGCGTGGAGGTCATCCCGGTGATTGCTGGCTACCATCGGTCACGAGGATCGCTGCAGGCACCGGTCACTGGCTGCCACCTGCACCTCTCTACCGTGGCTTTAAACTTTTGCCCCCCAACACCAAATCTGTGACTCTTATCCTGACAACAAGGGTCTGTACGACGACGGGCAAGGAAAATTCCACTCCGAAATGACAGCATGAAATGAATGCAAGTGAACGTTTAGTAAGTGGGGAAATCTTACCCAGTGTCACATGGATCGCAGCAGGTTTGGTTCTGTGAGCTGAATCTCTTGCTACTCACACGGCAAGCGCTGGTGTGGAGACCCTTCAGCTCCGCTCCATGCCACCGAAGAGCGCTATTCTTCGGGCATCCCAGTGGCACCACGTGTAGATGCTCGGGACCTATGCACTCCTAGTGTCAATCTGGAAACCCAAACACAGATAGGAAATGAAGCCAATCAAGTGATTTATCCAGTTCCCCTCCCCAACTCTCGAATGCATGCCCTTTTGAAACGGAACTGATGCCTTCATCTCAGGCATCATGTAGACGTCATATTTCTTCTTTTGCATCTCAAAATATTTCCCTGTTACGCCACTTAGTGTATGCTGGTCTTTTTCCGTTTCAGAACCGTGGGAACTACTGCGCTCTCTCGCGCTCTCTCTCTCTCTCTCTCTCTCTCTGTCTCTGTCTCTCTCTCTCTCTCTCTCTCTCTCTCTCTCTCCTGTGTGTGTGTGTGTGTGTCTGTGTGTGTGTGTGTAAAATGAAATGTGCTCAATGAGATTGATAAAATAAGGAAATGTGACAGGTGAGTCTTGCCTTGTTACTGTGTTTGATTCTCAACATGAAAACGGGTTTGCATAGAATACAAAACGTGTAGACAGACATATGATGAAAGGGACACCACTCACAGAAGCTCACTCTACACGAGAATGTGCCTGCTTCCAAGGCATTGCCAACGCGCCCAGGTGCACGGACACGTGCACACATTATCTTCAACTAGAGCTCCTAACTGAAGAGCGTAACTGGACACATGGTCTTGTGAATGCCCATGTTCCTACCTCCTTTGTGTGAATGCCTTTACAGGGAGGTTTCCCTGATGGTTTCAAACTTTATCTAATGAAATGTCCCATATTACAGAAACGTGCACTGAGATGCAACCCTTGTGTGAATCCTTCACTCCCCACCTTCCAAAGCGAAATACTCTGCTGCTAGTGTGTTGTTCTCCACAGCCATTGTACAAAACTTGGTACTGTGCAACACTGAGTATCGCAGCTCATTTACACACTATGGACTTCAAATGACAGGTTTCACAGGCCAAAAATTATTTTCTCAATAAATGCAGGTATGTGTGTCTATTCATGCACATAGGTGGATGTAATATGAGATGTATAATGATGATGAGATATACCAGCTTTAGGGAAAAGCTGCCCAAAACCTTTCTTAGATGAGGGTATATGATGATACAGGTTTAATGCCTCCCTGCTTCAGAGAACTCAGAGTACCAGGCTGTCAAGCACAGGTGTCACCCGAGGACCCAGAACAAAAGTCAGAAGGAATCACCAATGACCAAGGCACTTCAGTCTCCCCTTAATTAGACCCGCCAACCCATGTCACAAAACAGGTATGATTGGGCACTCAAGGTGCCTGGCAGTGATGCATAGAATCCATGCTCGCTGCCTCTACACATTCTTGTAAACGTTTCTGCTTCCAGTACCAATGCCGTTTTCTTCTCCATTTAGTTCCATATTTTAAACAAAGACAGGGAAACATCTAGAGGGATGTCTAAAATTTCTACATAGGAAATATAGTAAGCATCAGCAGTCCAATCACCCAGAAATGCTTACTGCAGGTGTATGAGCCCACACACTCCGGAACTGTTGTTCTGTTGACACATGTGTATATGTCTGTAAGATATTTAAAAGGCTTAAAATTTGTACAGACATTTGAAGATTCTTCAGTATTGGCATTTGGCGACATATTTACAGGTGTGAAACACTTTAAGGGGCTGCCTTCTACAGACAACCAAGATATCCATTACAGTTACGTTTTGGATGGCCGAAGCCATGCCTCCCTAAGAGAGACCGTCTGAAGGGAAGTGTGTGAAATCAAAATATTACATGTTCTCTCACCACATGCACTGGCCCGAAATACCTGCTATCGAGGGTTTGCCTATAGTCTTGCTGGCAACTTTCTCCCCACATTTTGTAGTAAGGGAGACACAATTGTTTTCTCTCCCTCGAGAGAGAGAGAGAGGCAGAGAGACAGAGAGAGAGAGACACACACACAGAGACAGAGAGAGAGAGAGAGAGGAGACAGAGACAGAGAGAGAGAGGAGAGAGGTCGGTAGGTAGGCTGATAGATGAGGGATAGACAGACGGATAGACAGAGAGATAGATGGATGCATAGAAGTAGAGATGGATATAGGTTGACAGGGTTGATTGATTCATGGGGATAGATACAAATGGATGGACGTAAAGATCGAGATAGAGATATACAGTATAGTAGCTAGAGGGTCTACTGATATTCAGAATAATAGAGAGAGAGAGAGAGACACAGATGATGGAGACAGACGATGAAGAGATATACAGAGAGAAAGACAGTTGGATGTAGAGATAGAGAAACCTAATTTTATAGAAGATAGAGACTTGATAGGAAGAATGATAAGAATAGATAGATGGTGATGGATGGATAGAGATAAAGACAGAGATGGATAAAGACAGAGAGATGATGGATGGACAGCACAATGGCTAGAGACAGAGCAAGATAGCTAGACAGGTCTACCTCTATCTCTGTCTGGGTATACCTTCATCTGTCTATATCACAGATCCAGGTAGATAATGACATGCAAACATTGATCTACTTCTGCGTGCCAGGATCCATGTGATGAAAACAGAATATTCACTCCACCCAACTCAGTTTCGTGAGTGAGCCCAAATTCTCAGAGTATGGAATGAGTAGGGCAATGTGTTTAATGTTTTACTTCACAATGAAATCAAACACTGCTTGCCCAATGAGCCTACGCAGATGAAAATGAAGACAGGAGCAGTAGTGAGTCTACAACCTGCAGCATCATAGGCAATTTCAGGTCACTAAAGAATTAGTGGTGCAGTATTGTCTATTGTTGGTGTATAACTTTTGTTCTATTCCAATTGCTCTTTAGTTGAGGGATGAAAGAACTAGATGGCCAAGAGGTTTTATCTCTGTCATTAACAGCCACGATTTGGGGGATAATTCTTTTGGATGCCCTCCGTGAATTCCTTTCTCAAGTGAGGGATTTATTTACGTTTCAGGGCAAAGTAAAAGAACGCAGTCCTCAGCAGCTCGCCTCAAAGTGGGGCTCCTTTCCTGACACGGCCCCCCCTCCCACCGAGAAGCAGGCATTGTCCCTTCCTCCCCCTAGCACCCCTCCCTACCATGACCAGAGCTTTGTGGAGCTGCTGTCGGCTGCTGGGTGCGTGATTTTAGACCCTCCCCCAAACAGGAGTTTCCTCCAAAGGATGAGCTGGCAGCATCCTTTAGTCCAATAAAGGCACCGCGTATAAAATGGTTTCTGCAAAGGAAGTGCATTCTTGCGTGTTCCTGCACGTCTCCTTTGCGCAGGCGAAGTGCACGTGAACTTTGAACCTACCTTTAAAGACAGGCCCCACGCTTTCCTAGGGTTTGCCGTGCACTTGTAGAACAGTAGGGGGAGAGTTCGTATCGGTCCAGTTTTCTCCTTAATGCTGTTCAGTAATTGCATGCGTCAACAGAGGATGCAATTAGTGAACTACTGCCCCGCTCTCTGGCGTGGAGAGAGGGGGGCTGTTTTGTAGAGAAGAGGAACACAGCGGCCCGCCCCGGTGAAGGAGCCTGTGTTTCTCTCGGCTGTCATCGAGAAGGGGCCCCTCACTGATTTTCACTCTATTCAGCTCAGCGTAGTTAGCAGAGTGATACCAGGAAATTCGCCTTTTAGAGAACAGGTGTCTCATCTCACGGGTCAGCCACCCAGGATGAGCACAGCAGGAACCCTGGCTCGCTCAGAGTGACGGGAGGCCTTCCCACCCTGTGCCTTGTGGCTCCCCATTTGCCGACTCCATATTTCCCTCTCCTAATGTGTGCACAGTGAGCTCTTACACTCAGGAGGCGAGTGAAGTGACATCGTGAAGGGGACCCGCCACTGTCCCTTAAGTTCAGACATCCCTGGGGAGTCTCTGCTTTATTTAAAGGACTCGGGTGACGGTGCTCTATGGCACAACAGGTGTCACCTCAGGACAGTGAGCCAGGGATGACATGCTACTCAGTCTCCTCAGCCCCGGTTCCTCGGGAGCTGCCCGCCTTCCTCATCAACAGCAGGGATGACAGCCCGGAGTGGTCAACTCAGTGACCCCCCCCCACACACCCCCTCAGAGAGAGACACACACACACACCCTCACCCACCCACCCACCAACCCCCGTACACACACACACACACTCAGACACACACACACGTCCACACACCCCCACACATCCACACCAACACACACAGCCACACACATTCGCACACACACACACCCTCACACCCCTCCCCCGCAAGCCCCCTCACCTTCCCCAGCCACCCACACGGTCGCATCGATAGCAGGCACCTACTAGTCTTGACGCTCCCACAGCTCTTCCAGCTGTCCGGGCTGTGGATATCCTCGCGAAATGTGTCTGCCGCCAGGAAAGAAACGCTTACCCCAGTTGTCATAGAAACCGGGATGTAGCCCGGACGGCGTTCTCCTGGATAACGGCTTTCTACAGGGCGCGAGAAGTGCCAATACATCCTCAGAGGCTCCGCGTGGATCTCGAGCTCCTTCGGTTACAGCCCCCCCCCCCACACCCACCCAAGCTCACGCGGGAACCAGTAAAGGATTCGTAACATGCTTTGGAATCCTCCTTGGCATAGGCGCTGCTAAGGGAAGGGGAAGTTTACAGATCGGGGAGCATGGAGGGAGGCAAGTGAAGGCGTCGCAGGTTCTCTTCTCCCTTGGGGCACAGGGACTCAGGGCCCAGGTCCCGTTAGGGGCCGCCTGCCTGTCCCACCGCCAGAGCACACGAGGCCAGTGGGATCTTTTGTGCAGGCTGGATCCGGGGCCCTCGGTCAGTTCAAAGCTACCTGCAGAGGCCAGGTCTGGGAGGGTAGAACACCTGCAAGCCACAGGAAGGCAGAGCCTGAACGTAGGTTGTGGCAGGAAGAAAAGGACCCTGACCCTTCACCTGGACCGAGGTGGATTGCTCGGGGTGGCAGCAGGCCGTGGTCCCCGTGAAGAGCAATGTGCCCGCAACCTGGGACGACAGGGAGGAGGGGGTTAACCCCTCACATTGAGATCTGTGCTCAGCACATACTGCTGGAACCCTGTGCTCACTAATGCTTCATA